CCAAACCAAAGGGCCGCGACGGGCACTGAGTGCGTAGCTCAATCAAGTACTAACTTGATATATCCTTCTTATCATACTATCATGGGTAAATGAGCCGGGATTGCCGTCATGAGGCAGCCAGAATTAAACATAAGAGAATACTCGACATAGGATAACCCAACATGGTATACAATTTTATACATGTGACATACGGGCCTATAAGACCAAAATGATCACTTGTACATTCAAAACATAGGTCGACAAGGCCATACAATTTTTCATATGAATGGCATCTGTCTACAAGCCTCTAAGAGTACATAGATGTCATAAGGGTCGGGACAAGGCCCTGCCATACCAATCAATACATGTCCAAAGCATACTGACCAAATAGGCAACTACAGAGCAAGTGGAGTGCACCAACACCTTCCGCTAATCTGATAGCCTACTAGGAGGACTGTCAACCTGTCTATCGGGACCTGCGGGCATGAAACGCAGCGTTCCCAACAAAAGGGATGTCACTACAAATAAAATACCGAGTATATAAGGCATGAAAAGCACTATATAAAAGACATGAAAGAAACATGGAGTAAAGGACTCAACCTATAAGTTTGAATAGCTTTGTGAATCATGAAACATTTTATAATATCATGCATATGTGTATAAATGTCATATCATGCATAGGTATATGCGTACATAACATCATCAAGCCTCTGGGGCATCATCTCAGCCTCTGTGGACAAAATCATCAACGTATACCAACTGATCGGGTGGTGGTGCGTATATAACGCCGTAACTTTTTTCCATACTCCATACTCCATATAATATATGCGAATATAATGACATCTGGTCATGGGTCAATATACATGTATAAATGAATGCAACGCATAATGAAGTAAGTCAAATAAGATCTAAGATTAATACGCCTTCGGTTAATATTACGAGATAAACTTTATCAACTTACGTATTTCCTAAGACCCGCGAACAGACGATATGATAATAGGACATACGGGAAATCAAGAACATAGGCAACCCTAGTACTTTTAAGAATAGAATCATTTGTGAAAGTTGCGTGTTTGCTCGTTCCATTATATCATATGGATCATGCCAAAAGGAAAGAAATGATAGACTTAACATACCTTATCAAAATCTATCCGATAATCACGTTGAACTCGTTATGTTGCACCTTAATCTACAACAACAATAATAATACTATATTTACATTACGAAAGGTTCAACTATCGCACAACAAACGACAAGCTTATTTTATAATAAAACGGGCAAAATTTTCCCTATAATCTTTACTTCCCCCCAATTTGACACCACCAACAAAAGAACACAACAATAACATGTATAAAACCTTATCGCTATCATAATATATCACAAAATAACCCACACACCCTAATCAATTTATACACAAAACGACAACCGTAGTAGTGTCAAACAACCTGAAAATATAATGAAGAATGACCATCCCACCATTCCGCCATTATGTGGTATTTCTCCACACCCTTTCTCCTCCAAAACTCCATAAAACAGCAGCAAAACAGACAATCCAAAAATAACACGAAACAACCCACAAAACAATCCACTATAAGTTAAATAACTCAAACTCACGGCTTCCGCTCACCCTCCCGTGAGTTCTTACAATTATTGAACGAATTTCTCTATTTTTACAACAGAAAAAATGGATGAAGAGGCAGTATACTTACCTTATTTGGTGAAGATCTCAACTCCTATCTTGGTTCATCAACCCTTATGTTTTCCTCCAACTAAAACTTGAAACGAAGAGAAAATCATTTAGGGTTTTGTATTGAAGTTCTAGGAGAAAATCATTTAGGCAGTTTTGTATCTCTGATTCTTTTGATCTATAATGACTGTAATATCTGAAGGACATCAGCGTTGAACCTGCAACAAATCCAGCATTGCTTTCGTGGGATCAACTGCTCGTTTTTGATATAGAGCTGGATAATAAAAAACAAAGTCTTTTCTTTTTTGGAATCGAGTGAGATGATATGCTGAAACGGGTGCTAGCTTGAAAACTGCCGCCGTAGAACAAAGAAACACTGTTGGTTAAGGCCTCACTAGGCTTTCATAAATCAGTCTTCTTAAAAGGGCTCTGGCCGACTCAAACTAGCCCTTTTTTGGACATATTTCGTCCTTTCATTTAAGCAAATAGGTGACACAGCTACTTGTCATCTATGCAGTCTACACAGTCTCGCAAAAATGCAAATATCTCTCTACTCTGATATTGTATCGATGAACGGTTTAATGCATTAGAAACTATACTCGTAGATCTTCAATTTGGTAGGTGGATTATTCCATAATTCAAAGTGTATTGAGAAAAAAGTTCAACTACATTTGACCTAATTTTCAGCACATTTATGAATGTATCTTGTGATGACCTTTGCCAACTTTTATTCCACAACTCGCTTGACTTTAAACATAACACACGGCTATCATACAACAAAAATAACTCATAACATAACCTCAATATCATTTTAAGAACCGTAGTCTCACTTTAAAAGTACATGTTATAACATTCCCAACTTGCCGACTTTCGACGAAACATATTTTCTTCAATTAGTTTAGCTTTCAAGCCTTCCAACCCTCCTGGTACTTGCAGCTCATGATTTTAAATATTTGTACCCTCCAAGGTAATTAACATGATTAATTTACTTTATGTACTTTCAAAGGTAATCGCATTTCTGAGCATACATCAATTGACTTACGGCGTACTTTTACGAAACACGGGGTGTAATAGCCCATACTTCTATGCATACAATTATGGCATGCATTCATGTAATCTAGTAATTTTGGTTTGAACTCAATACATATGTTAAAAATTTATTAAATAAGTAGAAAAATTTATATTCGAACTCAGTAATTCAAATAAATTGTACTAAAATTTCTAACTCGAACGTATAAAGTACAAATCTTAAATCTGGCTTTCTTGCTAACATGAGCTCAAATAACGATTAGAATAATTTTGTTAAGACGTTGAAGCGTCTATTTATAGAAAAGAGAAATAAGGACAATAACAAGTACACCAATTTCTTGAAGTGATCAAATCGTTTACACGCCTTATATGCCAAGGATTGTATGCTGCCACTCGAGGTCTTGTTCAATGTATGTTGTAGGAAAGTTTGCGCGAACATGGACGACAAAGCATGCATGCCTGCTCGACAAGGCGACTTAGCTATGACATGTAGAGTCGAAGCAATTGCCAAACAACGTACATAAAGCTTGTACATTAGTACACGTTATAACGATTATCCTCTGTAATAATATTTCATTATAATGATATAATTTTCTTCGGAACCAACTTTTTCTGTTACCTTAAAATATATGTGTAACATTATTTTATTATAGCAATCGAAAAAGTATCAAAACAAACAATATTGTTACGGAAAAGTGTTATGAAAAAGCTTGACGGTATACAGTCTGAGTGTTATTTAGCGGTAGGAAAGAAGAAAACGTGGATATATAGACGACATGCAAAAGGTGCAAATTCCTTAGAACCCTTGGGATAGGGAATCAAATTCTATGATATCGGCCACGGTCGGTGGTGCGCATCAACCTCGGCGCTGACACTTGCATATATAGTTGCATTGACACTTCATTAAAAGCAAGCTGTGCCGTCCTAGGCTTTTTCTCAATAGTATTAATAAACCATGTTCTTCCTGTCCTAGGCTTTGATTGGTGGCATTCATTTAGTCCTACAATTCTTAGTAAAACCACGATCAATCTTACCCACGAATATCATAANGTTGCATTGACACTTCATAAAAGCAAGCTGTGCCGTCCTAGGCTGTTTCTCAATAGTAGTATTAATAAATCATGTTCTTCCTGTCCTAGCCTTTTATTGGTGGCATTCATTAGTCCAACAATTGTTACTAATACCACTATCAATCTTACGCACGAATCATAAATGGTCAGTCTCCAACTCCTACTAAATTCAACATAACAGACACGATATCAGAGCAGGAACTTACGAATTCGAGTCGTGGAAACAGTCTCTTGCAGAAATGCAAAGTAAAATTGCGTAAGATAGACTTTTGTGGTCCGACCTTTCCCCGAATCCTGCACCGAACTGCCTCTGCCTTTTTTTAGACACGATATCAGACCTCACTCGTCTCCGTGCTAAGAGTAATAATTGAGTCAAGTTATAATGAATTTATTTAAAATTCTCACTCCTTAAAAGATTTATATATTAATATCAGTAATATGCATCCGGCAATCTATGAATACTTTACCCTTTTAATTTATAAATCAGGATTCTATGAAATAGTATTACCGTGAAAAATAATAAATAAAAGTTTATATGCACGAGCAAACGATGAATACATTTTCTTCTTGCACAGAAGATAATGTCATATAATCAGGAGTGCTTAAGACAATTGTTTGACAGTGGTCGAAGGAAGGGGCAGGCCCCTCCCTATAAAACTGGGGAAAAAAGAGGCTTTTCGAGATTCTCGGACCCTAACAAGTAACCGGGCCCCCCTTTTTCTCCCTAGTAAACCACAATTGTTTAGATGATAAGAACAAATTATTGCAGGTTATAATAAAGCAAAATGGAGGACCCCCATCAAAGCCAATGGGAAGAGAAGAAAGAAAAGTAAAATCCCCAAAAGTACTGCACCTTTTGCAACATCAGAAACCATGGAAGAAAGAAGCTAGAAAAGAGCATAGGAAACAACAAAAATATATTTTTGACCATTTCATGAAGTTGAACCTATTTCTGTTAAAAAAGGAAGACCCCCCAAAATAAATTTACACAAAACCCTACAAAAATCCAGAAACACTAATTCTCCAAGCAAAATAGCTTTGCCTAGAAGCTTTTCCATTCCTTTGTGAATCATTCTCATATTACTACAGCCAAACCAATCCATGCACCCAAAAACTTGCAAAAAGACAGACCATTTAAGTTTTAAAAAGAGAAACAAAAGCAAAAGAGAACAAACACCTCCTTTTTTCGATTTCTTCCATGAAACTATTAAAGTATAATATTTCTACTCAGTACTTCATTTAAGACTGGTCCCTGGTGCAGAAATAGCAAGATCAGGCCAATTACCAAAACAATCATCATCACTTATTCCTTCGCCGCCGCCACCTTCAATTTCACCACTACTCAGCTGCCACTTCATAGTCTCACCACCATCTCCGCCGCCGCCATTCCCTCCGCCTACCTGCTCCATGGGCCAATCAAGATTCCCAAGCCCAAACCCGCCTAGCCCAAGCCCAAATCCACCTAATGGCACAAACCCACCACCCACTGGACCTGTCAACAACGAAGTAAACGTCCCATTAGTAGCCCCTCCAGCTTCTTGCACTGACTCGTTGAGGTTCACTTCACAACCCATGAATGAAACCGAACCCGACCCTGATGATTGACCCGACCCGATCATTGTGATAGGGGTGGCATTTACTGATTCTTGAGCTGTAACGGAGGTGGTATTACGGGGCCGTTTGTGGGAGGAGTTCTTCCGTGTGCCACCACCCACGGGAATGTTACGTAAGGTTCCGCCACGTGTCCAATAACGGCGACAGGACTTACAAAAGTGACGAGGTTGAGAAAGATTATAGTTGTTGTAGTAGCAGAACTTTGTGTTCGTAGAATCACAGCGTGGACATGGCAAGTTCTCCGGTTCCGATGGTCGTGTTTCGTTTGCCGGCGCCGGTAGTCTTGCCGGACGTCTGTCGCCAACTTCTGAAGACATTTTTTCTGAGTTGTTTCTTTTATGGCTTTTTGTTGGGGTTTCAGGTGAATAAAGAGTGGGTTCTTTTAAGGAACTGAGTACTTTGAAAGAAGACAAAGATTTGATTTTTGAGAGAGAGAGAGAGAGAGGGAGAGAGGGAGAGAGCTAAAAGAGTAAAGAGAGGAAAAGAGAAATCTTTGTTTTGGCGTGAAATAGTGGGATTCTTATATACGGATGGTTAGCTTTTTGGAATTACACAACACCTTTCTCCTTTGTGTTTTTTTGTTGTAACATTCTTAGTAGTACCTTTATAAATTAAACTCTTATCAAAATTAAATACTTCCTCCGTTTTAATTTAGGTGATATCATTTGGCTCTGCACAAAATTTAAGAAGCTTTTTGGGCTATTAATATAAAAGTTTCTCAATCAGCATAAAATGAATAAAATAAAAAATTAAAGTTAAATTATTTTTAAATATAAAAATATGTCATTCTTTTTTAAATAGATTAATAAAAAAGTGTATCACTTAAATAGAAATAATATTCGATGGTTCTCAGCGACTGAAGGGAAGATTACTAGAATTGAATTACTATCCTAATGTCCATTGAATTGTATAGAAAGTGTAGGAGGGATAGAGATACAGAAGAAATAGCTTAGTTTGGGACTCATGTCCAGAACAAGCTATAGAAAGAAGATGTGTGTAAAATATTACTTGGTAATAAAAATATTTAGTTACCAAAAAAAATATTCGATGGTTCTAAACCTTATGTCTAAACTCTAAACAAATTGAACCCTGTATAAAAAGTCTTAATTAGGAAATTAGTGCCCAGAAAGTCAGAACTCAAATTCTAATTGTTCTATCCAATAACCTGTCTATTTTCCTGTTATGTATAGAATGTTTAGTCAAATAAATATATGTAGAGATTTAATTGCATCCGTTATTTATATATCAAGTTAATAAAAATAACTTTATGAGACGCATTAGTCAATAAATAATGTCAACATTTTAAATGATTATAATCGCTTTAGGATAGTCTTTTTTTTTTAGGTTTTTTATCCGGTGTCCGGTATTCATATTGGGGCTTGATTAAATTCGGATTCGCGCCGAAAAATCTCACATTAAAGGTAAAGCGTTCCCTAACAAAGGCTATTTCATACCCAGAAACTCGATCCCGAAACCTATGACTAAGGATAAATAAGTACTTATCATTCCACCACGACTCTTGTTGGTATAGGATGGTCTCTCTAGTTTAATCTTAAATTCAAATACTCCACCTTTTTAATAGTGTTGTGCTGGTCATTATTGGTTACACAAACAATGGAAAATTATGGAATGAAGCACGAGCTACTGTTATTTTGTCATCTATTCAATTGTAAAGTTGTTTTCGAAATCATAACCAAGATTATGATTAAAACTTTTAGAACATGCTGAAAATTAGTTGACTGATTTTCCAGAATCAGCGGCAGGTAGCTACTTATTTCACTTCTAGTCATCCCCAGTCCCAATCTAGTATTTCAACTTTTGACTTTAAAATGCTAAAAGCTTTTCATAATAGTAGTAGTCAGTGGTGCGTATGTATTCTATAGCGCGCACCATTGTTTAGTGCTCTCATATGACGTCTGATTGCTTTGTTGTTAATGGCACATTTTTTATGCATATATAACACTATTTCCACATGCAACTTTTCATAAGGTTCTCCTTATCTTTGTTTGGACAAACTATGTAAAGGAAAAAAATGGTGTGACATTCTCATATGGTATAGTTATGTAAAAATAATAAATAAAACAGTATGGTGTGCAAAGTATTCGTATTCATGTATAGCCTAAGAAAAAGTTGCCCCAAGGGATGTAATGGAGAATCAGTGAATGATTATACGATTCGAACCAGTACTATAGGCCATCACATGAAGACAACTTACCGTTCTAAATAATTTCTTTATAATAAATAAATTCCTAATTCTCCATGCTCGTTTTAATTAACATAATGGTGGACTTATGTTTTAAAAAAAAAAAATTAATACGCCTTTGCCTCCAAAGTGTAAACATAAAATATACTATGAAAATTTGACAATTAACAATGTAATTTAACTTATAGTTATCACATATTTGCACTATATTTTTAAGGTTATCATATGATCATACTTAATATTAAAATTTACTTATTATTATAGGTAAATTTTGCCTGTGGTGTACATCATTTACAAATAAAAGGGTGAGCTAATAAATAAAGTCTATAAAATTGCAAAGTCAACAGACTCGACACATTTTAACTTATGTTCATCGTACATGCAACAAAAGGTAAATGGCCTTATGCACGTTCAACTAAAAAGCCAGTAAATGATTTAAGTATATAATGTCCATTTTACAGGATACAGTAGCTAGTGCTGCTAAATTGAAACATATATCAAATTATTTCTCTCATATTCTTCCATTCACATGGGTCACTTTTCTCCGGCGACAGCAGCTGCTGTTGACATTCAGTTCAATAATACAACTCTGTTCAAATACCGAGCCTAGGAATTTTTTTCTCCATTTACATCTTGAGTTTCTAAATCTACTGCCTCATTGATCAATATTAGTGCTAATCCAAATCCCTTTACAATGGGCCAACCTTATAGGTTATAAATTTTAGAACCATAATTTTAAACTGAATTTTACATTTAATATTTATGCTCTATCCGTTTTAATTTATATAAATTTATTTTCTTTTAAGTTATTGTCAAAAAGAATAACTCATTTCATATTTAAAAATAACTTACCTTTATATAATAATCTATAGTCACATAAAATACTTGTGGTTATTTACATCATAAGTTTAAAAGTATTGTTTTAAAACTTCATCCCCAATCAAATAAAGTTGAATCAACATAAGTATATATTTAATAAATTTATTATCATAAAATATATTATTTGAACAAAAAATACTTATGTCAGTGGATAAGTAGTGTTGAAATACTTGTGCTTATTTACATTTTGGGGTCGTTTGGTAGGGTGCATAAGAATAATGCTGAATAGGGTGTATTAGTAATGCTGTTATTAGTTATGCTTGCATTAGTTATGCTGGTATTAGCTTTGCTGACATATTTCTTATCCATTGATTGGTTTGATGTATTAAAGCATTGCACAATTTCTAAAAGAATTGTTTGTTTACAAAAATGCTCTCAAAACCAGTCTATCACTAACTTTTTAAAAGAAACATATGTTGAGAAATATTTTTATATGAAAAAGTTTTAAAAAAATTATTTAATTTGTCTACCTATATTGTAATATAGAACCAAATATTTATTTATAAAAAAAGGAAATATGCTAAGTATTTATTTCTTTATTTACTAGAGATATAATTTTATTTCTCACTATTTGGATTATTTTATATTTGCATTAATATATTAACTAGCATATTTTAATCAAGCATAAATTTTGAAGGCCAATTTTGTCTTTAACTAAGCTAATGTATGCATTAAACCCATTGCATAGCTAATACCATTGTTTTCTATGCATTAGTTATGCATAGAATAATACCAAATATGATGTATAATTATTGCCTGCATAACTAATGCACATGTTCAAAATATCTACCAAACAAGGTATTATTAATATACAAAGTTAATACATGCATTATTTTATCTAATGCATTCTACCAAACGATCCCTATAAGTTTAAACGTATTTTTTTAATACTTCGTTCCCAACCAAATAAAGTTAAATCGACATAAGTATATATTTAATAAATTTATTATTATAAAATATATTATTTGAACAAAAATTAGTTGTGTTAGTGGATAAGTGGTGTTGATTAGTTGTGAGTTGTAGTAAAAGGAAATTAAAATTAAACAATTGCAATAGAAAAATAGGAGATGGAATAGTGGATGTTGGAGTGTGAGGGGAATCCTTGAGCACCAAGAAAAACGCATGGGGAAAAGTGGAATAATTGCAAGTTTAGGGATTTGGGAAGACGAAGAGGAGGAGAAGGCGACAGTATAATTGCGAATGTCGGGGTAGCGTGGGAAGCAATTACTGCCCCCCTCCACCCACTCTTCCTTTCAAATATCAAATCGGTGCCGCTCTTCGTCCTTTTCCCCCAATTTCTCGATTCCTCCCTACCTTAGAAGCTGCGGCACTAAAATTGGACAATAAGTATTTATTAGTGGATAAAGAAAAAAAATATTTGGAGGTCAAATTATACTTAAACATGAATTTCACCTTTAAAAAAATTTAAAATTTATGAGTAATTTACTTAAAACATTTTTCAATACTATATGTATTGATGAATTACAAATATGAATTACTGAAGTGTAGTACTTACAATTATTGATTGTTTGACCAAAAAGTTTTAAGACTTTTTTGTTAAACCAATTTATTAAATAGACAAGGGGTGTATCCAAGTTAAAAGTAATAAATTTCAGATCTGAAGTTCAATAACTTGGACGATATTGGACCTTATTTAAGTCAACGAATGCCAAGTTAATGCTCAATGACTGTTAATAAATTTGAGAATGAAAACATACAATAAATGTGACAAATGTCATTAAATGTAATAAGAAGGATTTTGTCACTCAAATGTTGGATGAGATGGATGATTCCTTCTCCTGACTACAACGTGTGACAACCGAGAGTGGAAGTGAACAAAGTGTTCTTGGATCTTGTAAATAAAGAGAAATATTCCGTAATGGAATCAAACAGAGAAGACAAGACAAGTTTTTTGTATATTTTTGATAGTCAACTCTTTACAAGATGTTCTTTCATAAAAGGTCCCGGAGCTTTTTGTTTCATCTCTCCTCTTATTTATAATGGATATTCCTAGAAAACTCTAAAAAGTATAATTGGGGGAATATTCAATGGAATATTCCTATTCATAATCCTAGGCGACTCCTCGCCACTGGACCGTGCTTGGTTTTGACATCGTCCTTCGCTCGCCCGTTTCATTCACTAAACTCAACCTAATTTTAACCCATACAGTTAGTCCCTCCGCTTATTGAGATCACCCTCTTGGGAGTCCTCAATGAGCGGACTTCATTTGCATCT